GAGACATTAATTTGATTGATGATCAAGAAAATGAAATTGACTAGTACTCATTGTACCACTAAAGCTATTAGTTTGATTATTGACTGGAATATAAAAATTAATTAATACTCAATGTAGTATTAAAGATATTGATTTAATTAATAACTGAGAATATAATAATGACTAGTACTTAGTGTAGTACTAGAGGCATTAATATGATAGATGACTAGGAGGTACTTAGTGTAGTAGAGGCATTAATATGATAGATGACTAGGAATATGAAATTAACTACTACTCAACTTAATACTAGTATCAATTCAGTTAACATCTGGGATATAAATTGACTCTTGGAAAGAAAAAAATACAGACATTGATTTAATAATTGGTTTTCTGTTTATAAATTAATTAGCAAACTTTCTTATCTTGCTATATCATATTATAATTAATGCTAATTGTTATAAATTAATTGTTTATAAGATCTTGATAAACGTATGATGTGTAGTAAATCACTTTTGTAATTTTGTTAATGGATATTAAAGTTGTAGTTAGGAAAGATATAACTCATTTTATAAATTCAAGTATATTTCTTTTGGCATGCAAGTAAATTTTAATAATATGATATATAAAATATTTTTTATTAAATTATAACTTCAAATTCTTAAATTAGTCTTTCTTTTCATTTATGATTACAAATACATGAGATTTTATCAAACTATTTGAAAGAGAATTTGTCAAGCCAAGAAATTAAGTGTTATATAATAAGTAAATAAATGAATAAAAAATAAATAACAACAAGGTCAATTTTTTAAAAAAATTGGTTGACTGATTGGATTTATCAATTGATTCCGTTAACTATTTAATTAAATTAAACAATAAAAATTATTATTATCTCATTTGGTTAATGGAATTGGTCAATTTTTTAACCTACCAACAAGAGAAATTATAGAAATATAGAAACAACCAGTTGATCAAATTATTGAGTCGAATTACTCTAATTCACTATTATCATTAATAACGGGCTATTTATATATAAAAGAATTTCAAATTTTGTGTTTTATTTATTTTTATATAGAGTAAATTGTGTTGCTAAAAGTTGGGATCTTTATATATTTAACTCAACCTATTTGACTTAAAACTTGGATAGCAGTTAAACAAGTTAGCTTGAATTAAGTATAATCTTAAGCAATATTATTTTTTTATAAATAAAATAATGTTATTTAGTATAAATAAAAAATAATTTAAAATGAAATTCAATTCAAATTAAATTATTAACTAGATTAACTTGATGGGTTGAACCCGTAGACTGTGTATTCCATTGTTGAAACAATTGAGTCATTAGATCAATTCCTAAGGCTTGCTGAATTCTAGCATGCATCTTCAAACAAATCTTTTGAATATTCAAAGATCATCAAACGTCCTAAATGCTAGGGGCCTTAAATCCAGTGGGAAATGGGCTTAAGGAAACAAATTAGGGCTTTGAAGACCCAAATCATCATTCTTTTTCAAACTCAGACAATTCTTTTCGATCAATCTAATCCTTTTTATAAACTGAAATACATGGGGCAATGGCCTTTTGTATTCTTCAAAACCCAAACTAAAATCAATCCAATCTATTTTCCAATTCAAATACGATGGGTTATTTGGACACTTGGTCTCACTATAAGTCTTTGGACTTCAGTCTCATTAGTAAATCCATGCATTAATTTGGATCATAGATAAGCACTCTTCTCTAATCTCTTTAGTATGCCCAACTAATACAAATCCACCAATATTAATTACAAGCCCAAATATAATCCTTGAGAAAAATTCATCTAATTATGAGCCCTTTTTTATATATAATCTTATTAAAAAAAGATTTAAAAAAAAATGAGTTTCGTTATTTAAAAGAAATTCGTAAATACCATACCAATACTGTGGAACATGGAAATTATTTTGGTAATATCTCCACCGTACCACCGATAAATATTTTTAACAAGGATCCTACTCTCATTTAGTAAGATAATAGCAGTTAGAATTATGTAATTTATTAATAGTTTTATTTTAATGATATATGATGTAAACAGAAATTAATTTATAATATGAATAAATCTAAAAAAGCTAAATATAATTGTGAGTGTCAACCATAATCTACTTATGTGTGCGTTTTTTTTTTTTTTTGGTTCAATAGTAATTCATTCAATAGTTTTTCAATGGAAACTAAATTTTCCTTGGACGATATTAATAATGCTTTCTTCATGTCGACATGTTGCATTTTAAAAATCTCAATAATTTTTCTAGAATGTTGAGCTCAAGGTTTCAATTCGAATAATTAAAAAATATATATATTTTTTAACCATCACTCCACCTCCTTATAATTTTTTAATAAATATTAAAAAATTAATACATGCTATTCCCATATCAGTACGTCAAAGTCTCGCGTGCCATCACTCCACCTCCTTATAATTTTTTAATAAATATTAAAAAATTAATTAAAAAATTAATATGTGCTATTCCCATATCAGTACGTCAAAGTCTCGCGTGCCATTCTAGAGGCACAATATAAAACATGTTTCAATGGCCAAAGACTTTCAATTGTTTGTCTCATTCGATGTATTAGATAGTTTTTTTTACTTGTAATATGTTGTGTATTAGATTTTTTTACTTTATAAAAAAAATATAAAAATACTAGGAAGTTAAAAGTTTAATGTATAATAAATGAAGAATTTTTAAAATATTGAGATTGTAATAAATTAAATGATAAATTTTTTAAAAAAATATTGAAACACTAATATATTAGATTGATGAGGATTAGTCATGTTTAACCTGTAAAATTCTTGGTTTAGGACATGAGCATGTGACAATATTATGGAATTCAAATCAAAATTTTTTTAAAAAAATATTGAAACACTGATATATTAGATTGATGAGGATTAATCATATTTAACCTATAAAATTTTTCATTTAGGACATGAGTCTGTGACAATATTATGGAATTCAAATCAAAATAGATTAGGAACTTCAATTTAAATTAACCTTATACAAAAGGCCTGAAATGAAAAAAACATTCAATAAAAAATAAATAATAATAACTCAAGCAAACCTAGAACAATGTGAAGGCTTGAAATGAAGAAAACATTCAATAAAAAAAAATAATAACTCAAGCAAACCTAGAACAATGTCTCATTTTATGATATTTAAACTAGTTTTTTAAAGAAGAAAGAAAAATTCAAAACTCGTGTGATTTATCTGATTAAATCCATTAAATCGAATTAATTTAATAATATAATTGAAAAATAAATAAAAAATAAAAGTGTGATTTATCTGATTAGATCCATTAAATCAAATTAATTTAATAATATAATTAAGGATGGTTTGATGATTTATGTGGGATGGTTGATTTTTTTTTTTAAGATTGTGATTGTTTTATAGATATTAAATGTTGATGCATGAGTTACTTTAAGGTTGGTGTTGATTTAAGGTGGTTTGATGATTTATGTGGGATTGTTGATTTCTTTTTTAGGATTGTGATTATTTTATAGATATTTAAATGTTGATGTATGAGTTACTTTAAGGTTGGTGTTGATTTATTTTGATTAGTATAAAATTTATGAATTTTAAATGATGTCATGATCTAACAAGACTCATGAGGATTTTTTATTTTACTTGGTATTGAGTTATTGCACTATAATTTGTCTTGAGATAACATTTAAATGAATTCGTGATCTAACAAGACTTACTTGGTATTGAGTTATTATTGCACTATAATTTGTCTTGAGATAACATTCTGATTAAAATAGTTTGATTAAAGATGGTCTTAGTCTAAGTTAAATAAATTTTTAAATTTTATTGGAAGATCATCTTGTCATTAATTTCAGGTTCTGTAATTTTTATCTATTTATATTTAATATTTGAAATTATAATCTACTTGTAAGATGCTTTTTTAGTATTAAGTAAATCAATTTTCTTCTAAAAAGCAAAAAATCTTTCTTTCAAAAACACAATTTTATTTTAAATTGCATAACCAAGTCTCTCGTAAATAAATAAAAAATCATACTTAAAATACACGGCATAATTTAACATTTTTAAATACCAAAAAACTAAAAAAAGAGTTTTGTTTTTATCTTTAGATGCACTTATCAATTTAATAATCAGTTTATAAGAGTTTTGTTTTTATCTTTACATGCACTTATCAATTTAATAATCAGTTTATAAAATCTATAAGAACTTGATCTATATTTTAAAAATACCAACAAAATATATTGTTTGGTCCAATATTAAGGATTGTAAACTTATACAAAGATATATTTATAATATCAAAGATGTAAAAAATATATTTTGAATTTAGAATGATTAGTTTTGATCTTTAAAATTAAATCTACTCTACTAAAGTGAATTAACTTTAACTGTTAAATAAATTAACAATTAGAAAATATAATAGTACTTTAATTTATATTAAACAAACAAATAATTCAATTTAGTTTAGATTCGATGTATTATAAGTAATACATTTTCTCTATATACAATTAATTTTTTTATTTAGATTTTAAGATTAGTTAGGAGATTAGTTAGGATTTCTAGAGATTAAGGTATTAAATGATGACTCTGATTTTTTTTTAATAAGAAATAATAATGTTTTTCTAGTTAGGATTTCTAGAAATTAAGGTAATAAATGATGACTCTGATTTTTTTTAATAAGAAATAATAATGTTTTTATTTTTTTATTTATTACTATAATAATTTTAATTTTAAAAGAAAATCATTGCGACACCGTATAAGTGACACAATGGTATATATCCTATTTAACTTATTGGAAGATGTCTGTGTGAGAGAATAGATGTCAGAGTAAAATATTACTGAAAATAGAGGACCCAAAATGCACTTTGCTCATTTTATTTATCTCCTTTAAATCAAAAGGAGGATACGGGACGAGCAAGAGGCCCAGCCTTGACCGTACACGTGTCATATAACATTCAGTAAAAAATTAAAAAATCCAAGTGTCGAATTTGGTATATATTTGGGATCTACCACGGCGAGATTAGCAATTTAGCATCTTTGCTCTCGATTCTCGGCATCTATTGTCAGATTCGACTCTCTGGTCTTTGATTATAAATCCAACAGTCCACATTAACCCACACCTTAACATAAATAAGCATTCACCCTCCTCACTACCCTCACAACCTCAAAAACTACAGAGGAAAGGCGAACATATTTTCGTTTTCGTTTTAGCTTCTGGGTTTTCATTTTCTTCAATCATGGATGTTTTAGATTCTCCAATTGATGCTTTGGCTTTTGATTATGTGAATCTCGGGATTCTTGCTATCATTAACAATTTATGGACGTGGGTTGCCGTTATAACAGCTGCCGTTAGCTTTTGGAGGATCAGAGCCGCTGGAGCCGTCAAAACGCTGGCGGAACCATCACCTTCACCGGATTACATTGAACGCCAAATCACTGAGTCATCTCATCCCGAAACATCATCATCATCATCATCAACAACAACAACAACATCAACATCATGATCAACAGCAACAACAGCAACGCCTAAGTCAGTTACAGAACCAGCAGCTCCCGGTTCAGTGAGTTCAAGTCCATCCGTGTTTGAAGACAATGGACCGAAAAAAGGGAAGTTTGTGGTGTATTATCAAGATGATGACAGACAAAATGAAGGTAACCTTGACGACGACGACGAAGACGGCGAGGAGGAGTTAACGGTTCTTGGAGAGTGGCGTAGGTGTGGGGGAGAGATAACATTGTGGGAGAGAATGTTGAGGGTGAGCATGGGGGAATATGGATGGTACAGATGTCAGGATTTGACGGTCATTAACGGCAACGTTGTTAGGTTATGGGATGGGGTTAGAAGGGAAAAGAAGAGCTCGGGCAGTGTCGCTTGGTAGGTGGTCAGAGAATGTTTAGATGCTTGATTAAGTTGTTTTAATAAATGTAAATACATCAATTGTTGGTTGGAACAACCATTGAATCCTGGAAATAAGGTTGTTAAAAAAAAAATTAACACGATACGAATCCTAAAATTATAAATTTAAATTATAAAATTATAAGAAAAATATTTTAAATAATTATATATTTATAATTTGAATAAAAAAGTAATTAATAATCTAACACAATTAAAAAAATAATAAAAAAATTTTAAAATTTTTATTTTATTTACATTGATTCTTCTCATTAGAAAAATTTTAAAAATTTTATTTTATTTACATTGATTCTTCTCATTTTTGTACAAATTAACCTATTTATTTTGTTATTTATATTATTGATGAGAAATGAGTTCCTTTTAAATTTTAATAAACTACAAGGATGAAGTATATTAATTTATAATTTTTATTTTATACATATGCCAGTTAAAATAGAATAATATATTAATTTATACGTTAATAGTTTATATAAAAAATTGTAAAAAATAAATAAATATTTTAATTTTTAAAAAATAAAATTCACAAATAACTTGATTCATTAGAAAAATTATAATAATTAAAATTAAAAGTAACCTCTTGATTATCAAATTACACAAATTTTATAAAATATAAATTTAAAATAATAAAAATATTAAGATACATATTATCAAAATATATAATTTTATTTTTTTCAAACTCATAAAATCAATCTAATTTTACAAATTTTACCAAATAAGTTTAACCAAATTTATTAATTTTTAATTTAATTTAACATACATATTTATAATTTTATGTGTCAACAACTCGCTCGCTCGCTCGCTCTCTCCCTCCCTCTCTCTGTTTTTTTTTTTTTTTTTTTTTTTTTTGTGACAACCTTACCTGGTAGGTAGCCTTTAATGTTTCAATTTTCGGTTTCCATTCCTCTTCTTTTTTTATATATATAATTATGAAATATCCTTAATCATTAATTGCTAGTACTATACTATACTGCCGTTTCATCTAAAACGAAAAAAATTGATAAGGAGACGCAAGTGTTAAAAAAAAAAAAACAAAGCAAAAACAATCTAGCTTGATATGTTTCATTAATTGAAGTAATATAAATAAAGCAATACAACTATAATAAATAAAAAAATTAAAAAAATTAACAATGTAAAAAAGAGTTAAAAAAAATTAATTAAGATTAATATATTAAATCTACAATTTAATTGTGATTAATGGAAAAAATTCTAAAAAATTAATTGAAAAGGTAGTGAAAAAATATACATATTAACTCATGTTAATTTACACCTTGTAATTATTGGAACAAGATTGTAATAACTTAATTGAAAAAAAATACAAAAATCAAGTTTTAATAAATAAAATATTAAATAATAAAATTAAAAAAATTAAAAATAACCTTGAAAAAATAAAAATCAACTTGTGTTAATTTTCAAAACTTGTAACCCCCTTAAAAAAATAAAAGTCGACTTGTGTTAATTTTCAAAACTTGTAACCCTGTTAATAAGTGAAAGACAAACCCTGTAGAAAGCAAATCTAAGAAATAACAAAGCAAAATTATAAATTAATAAAATATCAACAAATAAAATTGAAATAAAAATGCAATAAAAAAACTTCAAAACAAAAAAAAATAACAATTAAAAAAATGAGAGTTAGATTTGACACAAAAATAATTTAAAATCAAATGAGGAGGGGTAAAAAATAAAACTAAAATTTAATTAGAAAAGAAAAATAATAAAAATAAAAATAAAAATTAAATTTAATATAAAAATAAAAATAAACCAATTGGGGTCACAATGAATAAAAAAAAGGACCTGGATACCAAAAACACATAAAATAACGGATGTACTCTTTAGCAAGGAAAAGAGAGGAAAAAAAAAAAAACACTTGAACCAACCAGTGCTCACGCGCGGCACTGCTGAAAAGTAAAGTGTCGAGCAGCCAAAAGACAAATCGGCATGAGATATCGACCAGGGGTCCGTAGTGGTGCCGTTGAGGAAAGGGTGCCAAAATCACGAAGGCCACTATTGCAGATGTTGTGTTCATACGTTTCATACGTCCCGAGAGCGCTCTGTGGACATATATTTTCGTCGTCACAAACAAACAGATGCTTTGGGGGACACTAGACTAGGACCTCTGCTCTCTTTCTCCTATGTTTGCCTCTCTCGTCAGCAAATTATCAGATCCAAGAACAAAGATTTGGCTGGCAACGTTTTCACAACGAAAAACACTCTACCACTTGAACTATACATGCATGCATATTCAAGAATGAATGGATAGAATTTAGATATCTAATTCCATAGTTTGCTTCTCTACACAAGAGCCGCGAATCATTTGCACAATGAGGCAAAAGGATTGTTAACTAATTCCTACGGATCAAGCTACATGAACCACAAACCAATCAACCATGTGTTATTATGTCAAATGAATTAGATGGGCCACCGAGCATCTTTATTTTTGTGATTTAAAATTATTTTGATAAATATTAATCTCTTTAATTTTAAATTAATATTTTTTTATGTTTTATGTATTGATTTTAAAAATAAAAAAATAGTATTTTAATATGTTTTTAAGTATAAAACATTCCCATGTAATAATTGCATGTAGGATGTAACTATCGAATTTTGAGAATACCACATATTTACAGGCGGGCTATTAGTGGTTTGTTTCATTTTGGCCTCATGGTTCCAGAAATATATTGAACTGTCTCTCTCTCTATATATCTGTATAGATTTTGCTGACCTACCTCCTGTCCGCCAATGAAATAATAGCAGCGGCCATTGGAGGTGGTGCTCCGTTGTGGTATATTCCTTTGGAAAATCAAAGGGGCCAAGGCATCTTCCCGCCAATAACTAGGATATGCCATGCAACAAGCAGCCATTTTAATCATAGCCTCTCCTTATCTTGGCTCTTTGAAAATTCATTCCTATGATATAACGAGAGGCCCCTCTCGGGATATTCTTTGGCATTTTAAACATGAATCGCAGCCTCCATGCAGGTCGGCAGGTTTGATATACAATTTGTGATTGTTTTGTAGACCAAAGTTCTTATTTTCTCGCTACTTTTTTATAGAAATAGTGATGGACAATTTCTAATGGTAATAATGAGGAAATATATTTTGTTGATAGTTTTCTATGAAAGTGCTGAAGGAGTGTAAAAAATAATAAAAAATCAATAAAAAAATCATTGAAAATTCTATCAAAAAGTCAACACGTCATTATTTACTAATGAAATTCCAAATGAGATAACTCCATCAACAAATATAAATAATTTATAACAATCAATTCCCTCCCCCCTCATTCTTCTTCTTTACCATCCTCCTGCTAAAACAAAATATAGGTTGCTTCTTATTTCTTTACAAATCTAGCCACCCAAACTCATCGGTGTTGATCTACATCTATTAGTAGTTTCAACATTTATTGTTGATTTTTTTTTTTGTGAAGTTTTGATATACAAAATAAGCAAACCTACCTATTCTTTTGTGATCCATTTATTTTTTTTTGTTAATTTATTATTATTATTTTGCATATTTATAGTTCTCTTATATATTTAAGTGTTTCAAAACTTTTTCTTAAAGAAATTTATTGTATTAATATATGATTTTTATGTTATGGTTTGTTTGAGTTTTTGAGAAAATTAATTTTTTTTTGTCATTTGATAAAATTAAGTTTGATTTTGTAATCTAGATGTGTTATAATTGCAGAAATGATGGGTTGTTTTAATGGTTATCAATTGTATTTTTTTTATTTTATTATTAAGTTGAAAATTTAGATAAATTTAATTTTTTTATGGAATTGATATAATTAATATTATTATATATAAGTTTTATAAGCAATGGGTGATTATTTTTTGATATATTGAGATTCACCTGAAAGTTTTATAAGCAATATTACATTCAAGGGGTTGATGGTACTTTTATTAAATTTTATATCTTTTAATTTAAAGAATATTTGTGCAGGTGAAATTAGATGTTCATATGTGAAGTGTAAAAATAAAATGTTCTACCATAAAGATACTATGATGATTCATTTATTTAAAAATAATTCATTAAGAAATACTTATATTGGTTTATAGAGAACTTTATATTCCTTACAAATACCATTATCAACATCAACAACCACCACAATAACCACCAGTATAAATACCCAACTACAACAACTCTATAAGCAATAATGATGACAACTAAACTAGGAGAGATTAGAAGAGAGAGGAGATTAGAATAGAGGAGAGAAGACCAAGATCTTTCCCAATAATAATCTCCCACCTTTATTAGCGATTGTTTTATAGCCATAACAAAAGAAAAATGAAAAAAATACAAATCCAAACCAATAAACAACGCACTTCCGACATAATTAGAGCATTTATCCACACAACACCAGTCATGGTAGTGCTTGAGCTACATATGTTGACATTATCGAACTAGTTCTGGTAGCATCCAATTAACCTAGCTATTTTAGAAAGTCATTTCAAACCTTAAAAATAAGCTTTTGATAAATTTTAATGTATTATTGATTTCTATGCATATTATAATGAATTGTTATGATTATTAAAAATTTTGAGGTCCATATTGATGTGTGGCAATTCTAGAGTCATGATGCCATCAAAGATTTTTTTCAAAGGTGGAATAAGGTTAAATCAATATGCCACGATCCTAGATGTAAATGTTTTAAACTCATAATACAATTTTATATATGTTGGCATTGTGCTTGAAATGTTATGATATGCGTTAATGGTGTTAATATGTAATATTATGGTGTTTTAATAGTTTTATTATTTACTAACCAGTTTAAGATATTTATATCATCACTAAATGCTTTCCTAAAGTGTTGATTAATAGGTAATGAAAATACTTAATACAATACTTTATTGTATTTAAAATATTTTTGATATATCTTTCACTTTGAAATATGGTGGCTTTTTAATAATTTTATTATTCAGATACCCATTTATGATAAATGAATCATCACTATGTGCTATCCTAGAGTGTTGATTAGTGGATAATGAAACTGCTTAATACACTACTTTATTGTATTGAAAATATTTTTAGAACATCTTTTCCTCTTA